ATCTGTAGCGTTATGGTCAAAGACAAATATACAAAACCATAACGCTACAGATATGCAGCTATCCTCATTATCCCTTGGCATACGGTGTTGATAGAATGAGTTTTTTTCCTCCAGTTCTGATTAGAATTCGGTACACCCGGTCGACCAATCAGCAATTGTTTTATGTAAATGACGAAATTTGCATTCGGGACACTTCTTGACTCTTTAATCTTGGAAATGAACAACGCGAGTAAACAACGATCCGTAAGATATCATGCAATTCTATTAATAGCTATGGTGTCATCCAATATCTTCTAAATATGTGATTAAAAGTCTATATTGAAGCTCCAGGTTTGTACTATAAATAATAAATAACTTCTTAATCATTCTTGAAAAAAAAATTGATATGATTTTTTTTCAACACGCGTATTTATTTCTGTCGATGACGCAATCTGTTCGTACCTGATAGATTCGAGATCACGTGACGAAAAACAATCCCATCTTTTGCCATATGCCAAGGGTTCATGAGGAGAGTAGCGTATCAGAAACCCTATGAGGAGAGTAGCGTATCAGAAACCCTATGAGGAGAGTAGCGTATCAGAAACCCTGTGAGGAGAGTAGCGTATCAGAAACCCTTGGATAGCGAAGATGGGAGATAAAATGCAGCTATTGAAACCATGCCCACAATACCATGCACAGTGTCTTGAATTTAATTAATTCACAATACACACTAATGTATGTACAAGTTACATAAAAAAAATATTTAATTATAGAAGGCATCGATATTTGGGTATCATATCAAAGATACAATGTACATATACTATTTATGGAGTTAATTTCGCCGTGTGTGTTTTTGCCCTTTCACACTTACAAGCAATTTTGTCTGTTTTTTTTAATTCACCTTGTCACAGTTCCGTTTAAAAAATATACTGTGATTTTGAACTCGTCCCATCTTAAATTCGCTAATCTGTAGTTGTTGCAATGACAACAATTGATAGAACATTTTATATTTTTTCGAACTTTCAAAACATGCAATTATCAGGATATTACTTGATTGATTGTATATTGTTTAACGTCCCTCTTGAGAATTTTTCACTCATATGGAGATGTCACCGTATGCCGGTGAAGGGCTTCAAATTTAGACCTATACTCAGCACACAGGGCCATTGAGCAGTGAGGGTCCTTTATCGTGCCAGCGCCTACCGTGACACGGGGCCTACGTTTTTAAGGTCATATCCGAAAGACCCTTGACTTTCACTTCTGGTGCCGAGCGCTTGGCGCAGGAACAGTCACTACCTTTGTTTACGTCTTAGGTATGACGCGGTGCCGCGAACAAGAATCGAATTCGGGCCTCCTGATCACGAAGCGAACGCTCTACCACTAGGCTACCGTGACCGGTGAATATTACTTGCATTTCCAATTCCATGATTACAAAGTCAAACCCGCTTATAGAGACATAGGGTACAATGGTTGCCATGTACTGGGAATCGTTGCCATGGTCTATCCGGTTGATTAAGTACAAAAAAAAATTATAAGACTGACCAACATTTCATTGTCAATTTTGTTCAGTCACATTTTTATTTAGATAAGCCTTAATAAAACTACACGTGTACAGGCCAAAATTTCTTTTCTTTGCCTCGTTTCTAGGGAGAACCTATGGTTGCTATGGAGATAAAAAAGGTTATGCAATATTCAATAAGTTCCTAAGGAGTCCAAATTCAATTATGCTATTTTAAAATTTATATCTCGTTTATCATATGTAACAGTTCATTTGAATTTTCCGTTTACTTTTTATATTGTTTTTCATTTTATGCATCAAAACATCCAAATTTATTGCTAATTTCATTTTGAAAAGAGCCCATGGATTTGACTTCAAATTCTAAAAGAGAAATTCCTCAGTTTTTTTTATGTGAAATACACTTATATTAATCTGGCCATTTTTAAAATTTCGCCTTGAATATTGCCAAAATCACGAAAAATGCTGAATCATCAAAAATTGTAAAACATGTGTACCTTCCAATGTCTAGCTCAGAACTGACTTAAAACCTAAATATTTTTTATTACATTGTTTAAACACTTAAAATGTTTATCTTTATATATTACACCACTAAGTAAGAATAATTCTCTTGGTATTCACGTGTTTTTTTAGCCTTAAAGATAGTCGATTTTTTGGTCCTTCAACACTGAAAAATCTGCCGGTTGCTGAGGAAATTTCTTTGGCCCGGTTTCCATGGTAACCACGACTCAATTTTTTTTTTATTTTACATACATTGTTAATACTTCAAAATAAATCTATGAGTGGAAAATCATCAAATTCTGAAAACCTTCATGTATCACTTTTATAAAATTTTGACTGATTTTTATGTGGACTAGTACTTAAATTTCCAAACGTAAACCTACTTATACAAATCCAAACTTCGAATTTGAAAATTATCAGTTGCAAATCACAAAAGCATAATAAAACAACCAGAATTTTCTAACCTTCTTAAATAAAATTAAAATTTGTAATCTTGATAACGAAAATTAATTAATTTTCGTTATCAAGATTACAAACTTTAAAAAAATAAATAGATTCTCAATTATGTTAATTTATGCATTTGTCTATCGGATTTGAAATCTGCTGTGTATATTATAGGGTAATAAAGTGATGATTAATTGTTATATAGTATTACAAGAAGTAGGTGATTTATTCAACGTCCTGTACATTCATTGTGTTTGAATCATACAATATCGTGAAAAAATAACTGTATGACAAGCTAATTTCGTATGTGTTTTAAACAAATCTACATATCATCTTACTTGTTTAGAACAAACCGTTACTTTGTAAAAAAATTATTTTTAAGACACACTTACCAAGAAGTAACCTCACTCTTCAATAATATGCAACTTTACAGCCATGAATGTTAAATTGAGGAAGTACACTTTAACCACCGAAGGATCACTCTCTATCCATTTACACTTAATGTTCTCTATTTAAAGAAGTAAAAAATTAAGTTAAAAATTCTTTTCAGGTCTGATGCAATGTAAGAAAATCTTTTTTTATACTTTGCTTATTCACTATTCAGGTAGAACACATTGAGTTTTTAATTTGTTTTGAAGTCTTCAAGAAATGTTTGCGAACGCAAAGGACAAGATAGGGTAACAGCCCAATCTGGCCCCTTATTTGATGTAAAAATCAGAACACTGGTAAAATTGTGATAGTTTGTAGTTAAGAAGTTAAAATGATGCTTACTTTAAAACAAGAACTAATTTTGATTTAATGCTTACATGAAAGCCACTAGAGGGTTGCAGAAATAGGACATTTTCCAGAAATTCCTCAATCCTTGTGGAATTTCATCATATTTGGGATGCATTTCTCTTCAGGAAACATACAGCACAAGCTTGCCAATCTGAAATTTTTACACAAAAATTATATCTGATATTAGTGTATAAAATATATGAATTTGGTATGTAGGCAAGTGTGTGCTCTATGTTTCCTAAAGAAAATGTTCTGTACAATTGATGAAAATTTGCATAAAAATGAGAAATTTTGAAAATTGACTTATTTCTTGACCTCACTGTGACCACTGTATATTATAAATCCTTAAACCAATACTCATTTTGTGGCAAACTTGACAACAGGTTTTTATGGATAAATTATTGGATCATTCTGAAAGACACCCCAAAACGGGGGCCAAATACTGACCTTACCCTATCTTGTCCTTTAGTTACATGTATGTTACTTATCAAATTCAAGATAACATTATAGTGCATGCTGGCTGAAAGTTTCATTACTAGTTCTAATGGGTATCTTATCCAGATCTGCTGATTTAATTAACATGCCATATTTAACAAAACAAGAGGCCCGCGGGCCTTGTAGGATTTTCAAGGAATTCATGCATTTTCATTAGATAAACATTAGAGCTCTGCCATAACCAAGAGGCTCTGCAAATGGGGCCATGAAATTCACAAATCTCAAAAAGACATCCTTCCTTATTATAACTATGTACATAGTTCATTGGTTTAAAACCCAGGTGTAGAAAAAAGATTTTCAAAACATTAATGCATTTTCACTATATAATCTATAGAGTACCGACCTAGCACAAGAACCCCAGAACTGGGACCATAAAATTCACAATTTTGATAGATTTCTTGCATCATAATTATGTACTTAATTAGTTAATTTTATACCCAGGAGCAGAGAAGAAGATTTTCAAAGAATTAATGCATTTTTACTATCTAATCAATAGTGCCCCGTCCTTGCACCAGAACCCATGATCTAGGGGCCATAAAAGTAACAATTTTTCAAGAGGCACTCTTGCTCATCATAACTATGTACTAAGTCAGTTCATTTAAAACTCAGGGTCAGAGAAGAAAATTTTCAAAGAATTAATACATTTTCATTATATAATCAAAAGAGCCGCGCCCTAACACCAGAACTCCTTACCCAGGGACACTCTTGTTCATCCTAACTATGAACATAGTTGGTTTATTTTATACACTAGAGCAGAGTTTTTCAAAGGAATAATGCATTTTCACTATATAATCTATAAAGCCCCGCCATAGCACGAAAACCCCTGACCCTGGGGCCATAAATTTCACAATTTTGGAAAAGGACTCAATGTTGATTACATTCATATCATCAGTTTTACCGCTTGGTGTCCAGAAGTAAAGAAGAAGATTTTTAAAAGATGTCATTAATTTTAGCGGTTTTGCCCCATCCCTCAGGCCCCATGGGGAGGAGAGGACCATGAAATTCACAATATTTGTTCCCCTTTATTCATAGACGCTGTATACCAAATTTGGTTGAAATTGGCTCAGTGGTTGCAAAGAAGAAGCTGAAATTGACAACATTTACTACCTCTAGCAGCGTATACGTAATTTTAATTGGACACAAAAGATCCAGTGCAGATATGGGATTGTACTTGGATTGGCCACAAGTGTGTAATATATTCTAATTTTTATTAAAATGACTTGAAGCCATTCAGAATAAGGAAGTCATTCAATATATAAATACGTACAGTCCCGTTTTTTATTCAACAATGGAAAATAATACGGATTACCAGTTGTTACTACAGGAAAGACATTCCAACATTTCTGTGAGCAGCTCAATATTAATTGTACTTGGTGCTGTAGTCGGGATCATAGGAAACCTTGCCATTATCTATTTCTACTTTTTCCGCATCAAAGAGAGAAAAGAGCGTTACTTTATTCCATTATTGGCCATTGTTGATCTTTTGGCATGTTTTACAAGTCCCCCTTTCTACATCATGGACAATACCTTCTTTTACAATTACCCGAGTGATGCTGCTTGTCGAATTCTTTCGTTTCTGCAGATGTGTGTTCCTGGAGCTTCGGCTCATATACTTCTGGTGACCTTGTTTTGGAAAAGAGTCTTCTTTGGAATTGCATGTGGAATAGCTGTTGGATATTCGATCCCAGTGCTAGGAACCTCAGGGGTTTTAAGTACGGTTGATAATTTTATGAATCACAATGTTAGTACAGAAATATGCAAATTTTCCGTCGACACTTCACCAGTTTTAACCGTGTATTTTGGACTTTTGGCCCTTATAATTCTGGCAAACATCGGGATTACGGCAGGCTTATATGTGCCCGTTTTAAGACAGATTAAGATTTCTTTTCGTCGGAAAATAAAAATGACAAGCACTCAAAATGAAAGTAATTTTACATCTCATACCGAGTCTTCACATACAACGCAGTCAACTGAAATGGAACTTGACAAAGACCAATGTGGGAAAGATAGCACAGAGTTACAAGAGGTTCATGTATCAACGGAAGAAAACAAATCAAACACTCATGAACACGTTAAAGAAAACTTAGAAGAAACATCTGGCAACAGAAGACGAGGAAATTAGAATTCAAAACCCTGATAGCAAAGTTGAATGCAAACTTGCGCTCCCTAAAGATGAATCTGTGCAGAGAAGAATCACGATAATGTTTCTTGTTATAATAATTATGTTCCCCAAACGAAGTTGGGGAACATATTGTTTTTACTCTGTTTCTTATTATTATTATTCTTATTATTATTATTATTATTTTTCTTCCTGGGAAAATTTTGTCCGCGAGTGATCTTGTAAACTACACATTCGACTTAGGTGAAACCTTTTTAGGGTAAGTAGGCATGTTATGTAGATTTGCGGAATCAAGGTCATTTTGCGCGCACGTGCTTGCAAGAGCGCGCACGTGCAAAACTTGAAATGACCAATATATAATGGATATAACCGTAACTTTTCTATTTTTAGACAAAATGTTTTGAAACTCATAATGTAAGGATATATGAGTAGTATGCACAAGATGACATGGTCAAAATAGCAAGATCGCACGAGCAAGCACGTGCGCTTCGCTCTGATTGGCTGAAACTAAAGTCTCAATATCTTTCTTGTTTTTTGATAAAATCATTTGAAATTTTGAACATAGTCATACATTAGGGAGATCTACAGCCCGTATTAAAAAAAATATCATGAAAGCATGTGCATGCACGTGTGCTTGCAAGAGCTCGCACGTGCAACACGAGAAATGTCCAATATAATTGATACAGACGTAACTATTTAAATTATTGATGATATGCTTTAAAACTCATATTAGAAGTATATACTAGAAGCATAGACAAGATGACATGGTCAAAAAAGCAAGATCTCACGCGCATGCACGTGCGCTTCGCTCTGATTGGCTGAAACTTAAGTCTCAATATCTTTCTTGTTTTTTGACAAAATCCTTTGAAATTTTAAACATTGGCATGTATTAGGATATCCTACAATAATATATGTAGCAATTATCATGAAAACGCGTGCATGCACGTGTGCTGCAATCTGATTGGCTTATGCTTTAAATAGCTATAGCTCCCTTGATTTTCAACCAAACAGGATGGGATTTGGAACATTGATAGATATAATAGATTTCTACAAGAATATATGGTCAACATGCACATGGATACATGTGCATGTACGTGCGCTGCAATCTGATTGGCTGAATCTTTGAACAGCTATAACTCCCTTGGTTTTCAACCAAACAGGGTGGGATTTAGAACATAGACAGATGTAATGGACTTCTACAAGAAAGTATGGTCACCATGCTCATGTGAGCACGTGCGTGCACGTGAAATGAGTAAAATAAAAAATACACTTGAATTAGCGTATTTTTAAATACTTTTGGATCAAATACTTTGATATTTAGTATATTAAAATCTAGAGATTGTTAAGACAAGATTATATGGTCATTACGCACGTGCATTCACATGCGCACGCGTGCAATGCTAAAATTTGAATGAAATTGGTACACTTCTGGGTAAACGTTGCTAAAGTCTCAAATGCATAGTTTGTCTTATTTAATGAAGCTTATAGGGAATATGGCACCAAAAGGGAGTTGGGGAGCGTTTGGGGAACATCTGTAACGGTCCCCGTTACAATTAGCACTAGTTGCTTATGTTTTGTCTTATATTCTACCTCTTGTCATTTTGATTCTTATTTATGCAATTGAGGATTTTAATTTCATCACCCTGTCTGAGTCTGAGACATTAGCCTGGCTTTACCTGGCACGGTTTATTTTTCTTAATAATATCGTAAATCCCTTTATTTACGGCTTCTTTGATACCAAATTTAGGGAACAATTACAGATATGTTTTAAACGTTGTAAAAGAAAATGCTTTTGAATGAAATTTTTTCCTCAAATTGTCGAAAATGTTTCCGGTTTGGTAACCCGAAAATAGAAAACACGTTTAATTTATAAATTACAAAATATTAATTTGAACTCTGTGTCAAATTGTAGTAAAATCCCATTTACATAAAGGCGTAGTAATGTATAAGGTTTTATATAAATAGTACATGTATATAAAAGAACTATACTTGTCTATAAATTAACATGACACAAAACAGAGGGTGTGCAAACTGTCAAAAATTCCACTACAAAAAAACTAAATAATTTGTAAATGTGTTCAGATCACTTTTGCAATTAACATGTAGTTTTTAATTAAAGAAAACACGTGAGTACATTCTGATTGTGTTGTTTATGCTATATATATTTCACCAAGAGTATCTTGAAAATTGTTGAGTTGAAAATGTGTAAAAAAAAATCTCTTCTGTTAAATTCATGTATGCGTTTCTAAGTAGAAAGGGTTGTGCACGTCTATGTTGATATAATTAAGAGTCAATTGCAAAGGTTCATGGTCGCTTGCGTGGCGCAATGGTTAGAGCGTCTGCTTGAGAGTCGTAGAGGAACAGAGCAAACACGGACCTCTAAAACTAAAGAGCAATATATGTTAAGTGTCTCAATTGGCCCCTTAAAATGAATATCTTAATTTTACTTTACATATAGCTTTAATTTGTACAGCTATATATGCGACCTTTATTGGTCATTTTCATTTTGATCAAAATGCCGTTATTTTATAAATATGACATCATAGAAATCACGTTTTCCCGCCATTTTAGTATATTTTGTATAAAACTGCTTATTTGCAAGTAGTTTTTCTTCCAGTAAATATAGAGCGCAGCCTAGAACAAGCTTTATATTTTTACCAAAGATGTATCCATCTAATACTAATTAGAGACAGAAAAATTATGTATGTTCTACACTACGCTTTATGTTTCCCATAAGAAAATAAACATCAAGAAAAAGATCTATCTGTTTAATTTTTATTAAATAGCAAAAATAGCATTATTTCTCATGTCATTTACAGCTAGTGAGTGCATATAAATGTGAAAAATATATTGGAAATATTTCTAATATAATCTCTTCTACAAAATAAATATCAATTAAACATATTTGAATGTCATTCTAAAATGTTGATTTTTAGGGGGCCAAAATTGGCTCTTATCATATATACTCCTTACCTATTAATAATTACTAAGCCTTAAAAGGGGCATGGACACAGTTTCAGCTAAAATTTCCATTTTCACAAATATTTAACTAGGGTCATTCTAATGATCATCAGAAACGTCAGTTGTCCAGATACAAGACAGATTTAGAGCTCCAAACCTTTTTTTTTTGTTTATAATATTTGTGTCATGTTTTTGTTTACACTGGTTTATATACTAATACATGTTCATTCAAAGTTTATTATTTCAAATAAAAGTTCATAATAAAAAACGGTTCGACAGTATTGATTCGTTTAATTTCATTTTGATATAAATATGATTTTTTTTCTATATGTGAACAAAAACCAAGACACGAGCCTTCTTTACACTATGAAGAACTTTAGTTATTCAAAAACTTTTAAAAATTTGATTATTTTGATTGATTATTTTTTCACATTTTACCGGGGCCCATAAGTGCACTAGTTCAAAAAACGTAACTGTGTCGGAGAAAATTTTACGGTGTCGGGACCAACACAGTAAATTAAACATCTCATGGAGAATCCTGTTATGACATAGCATTAAGATAAAAGATGATTTTTCAATGTAAAGTGCAGTCAAATATCTCATACAAGACTATGTGGTATATTTTTCTACAAGGAAATACAACAATTTATCATTTTATTTGTGTTAATGAACACAAACGACCGAGCATAAAAAAATCATCCGGTTAAAATGTAGAAGGGGGGAGATTTCACTTTACATTTAAATGAACAATTTTAATTATATGAAATTTTAAAAACAGTGTCTGCAATTACATGGTAAGTTAGTTTAACATTGGTACTAAAGTCTAAAACAACTCAATTCTACTAATTATAACATCAAAGAAACACTTGGGAAACGAAAGAGATTGACTTGCCTGAAAATAATTAATACCTCGGACCTGCTTTAAGCCATCTTCGCTAGCCAAGGGTTTCTGATACGCTACTCTTCTCATGAACCCTTGGCATACGTTGAAGTCAAAAGACGGGATTGTTTTCGTCATGTGATCTCGAATAAATCAGGTACACACAGATGAGTCTATAGGGAAAAGACTTTCAGTTTAATTAACAATGTAAAAATTGGGGTATCTATAGGGAAAAGGCCACTAATTATTTTCCCATAGAACTCCATACAAACCTTTGGCCCTCTCAGTACTTTACTATGACAATTTCCGAAATATCCTTAGCATCATTTCAAACTTCGTTCTAAGCTCTAACAAAAAAAAACTGAAAAAAATATATGGTCACATGGCGTTTATAGGTCAAAATTGCAGTTGTTTTCAACTTATAGAGATCCGCAGTAAATAACACGCTACATAAAAAAATCAACCCCCACTTCTAAAATCTTCCCTGGTAATTCTATAGTTACTGTAATATCCCCTCATCCCATCATTTATTTCAAAGGTCATTAATTTTACTTTAAAATGAAAACAATTAAATACCTGATTTCAGCCAATGGCGTAACGCCTACCCATTCAGTATTCTGTTCAATGTTCCATCACAAACAAAGCCATGTGTTCATCCGGGGATTTGGTGCTCTCTTTCCATCGACAGAAATGAAGACGCCTGTTAAAAAAAAATAAATCAAAGTTTTTTTTCAAGAATATTTAAGAAGCAATATTGAGTTGTGTTTATTTATTATTACAGTACAAATCTGAAGCTTCAATATAGATTCTTAATCACATATTTAGAAGATATTGGATGGCATCATATCTATTCATAGATTTGCACGTTATCTTCAGGATCGTTGTTTACTTGCGTTTTTCATTTTCGAGATTAAAGAGTCAAGAAGTATCCCGAACGCAAATATAGTCATTTATAAAAAAACAATTCTGATTGGTCGACCGGGTGTACAGAATCCCAATCAGAACAAAAAACAAAATCAACACCGTATGCCAAGGGTTCATGAGGAGAGTAGCGTATCAGAAACCCTTGGCTAGCGAAGATGGCTCTAAGCAGGTTTGGCGATGAGTTATCGTTCATAACGTCGAACCCTAGCGGCTGTTGAAAGACCTATAAATTATATGA